CCCGCCACAACGCCTGGCCATTTTTTGGTTGCAGCCATCATTGTTGTTTGGTGGGCCTGGGCTGGGGATTCGAACCCGCCACCTTAGGTATATGTGGCTGGCGCCTTAGCTGCTTGAGCCACAGGTGCCGAGCCTATATTTTTTAAAAGTAAATTTTCTATATTCTCCCACAAAGACTGTGTAATCTTTGGCTCTCAGAGAAAGTCTTCATATGAAAGATGTATTCTAGATGCAAGTCAAACCAGAGCACTGGATAGTGCTAACAGTTCAGGCCTTTCCCAATGGATTCTATTTTATAAATGAATGCATTGAGAATCAAGGCTGACCTGCCAGTTCCAAGGTGGAAATAGCCCTGGAGGCAGAATATAGGACGCCATGCAACTCTCACTAGTGAAGGGTGCAGAGTTGCTGGAGGTTTGCGTAGGAATCACCTGCCCTTGAGGTGACTAGAACAAAGGTTATGATGCTGAGGACAGTGCAAGCTGTTACAGCAATAGCTGAGAACCTAACAATGTGCAAAAGATTCCCTGACACAGTTAGCAAGGTCCAGTCTAGTACCTGCCCACTGTGAGTTCGCGTTTAGGCGACATGCCCTGCTGCCTCTTTCAGGGCTCCTGCACTCCCCTATTGCTGCCATCTTTGAGAGATAACAGTACTTTCCAGTGAGCAGCACAGTGGTGGGCGCAGAGGTGATGTTCAATAAATGTCAAATAAATTAATGCCCTCACCCTCAGTTTTGAATGGATGCTTTCTGTTGCAAGGATGAAGATAACAGTATTCTGGGGAGTGCTCACAGGTACAGACTAACATGTGCATGTGGCATGTACATAACAGTCTGGAACCCCTCAGGAACTCCCTGACCTAGGTCTTATGAGTTGGCAGCAGGAGATATTTGAGCATTAGAAACAAAAACGAGTTGTACTGTTCTTTATGCTCTAGACTCAGCTATTACAGCCTGTGCGCAAACTTCCCTCAGAAGGCTACTTATCCTTGCTCAGGGACATCTGGGGCCCTGCAAAAGCCCCAGACTACGTATGAGAAGCATAGGAGAGCAGTCTACACGTGAGGAGTGTACTATGTCTGCTGAGGGCCATATAATAGCCACGGACTGCAAGTAGCCTACACGGAAATACTAATAATTTCTTTTACTTTAATGATATTACCTGATGTTTGGTTACATCTAAAACGAACCAACGAGGTTTCCATCCTTTCAGCAAAGCTCCTCTTTTATAAAGTGTTCCTTCGAAGGACCTAGAAGAAATGACAGGACAGTTAATTTTGATTTTTCATTTAAGCAAAATGCTGTAAAGGGGATGTCTGTTTCTGTGTGTCAAGTCTGTTATTTCTCCTAGATGATCCAAAAATAGTCAGAATTCTCCCTGGAATTTTTCTAGACTTTTGGGGAAAGACTGCCTCTTTCTGCTGGGATTACTACATGAGTAAGGCTTGGAGCTATTAGTAGCCACCTCTGTGCCACAATGGGATTGATGTGACAAACGGAAAAGCAGACCTGGGAGACAGACAGCCTAAGGATATTGCATGAGAGGCTTGGCACCTGTAGCTGGGAGACAGACACAGCCTGAAAATATTGTGTGAGAGGCTCAGCACCTGTAGCACAGTGGTTATGGCGCCAGCCCGGCCCACTATACAGTGATGACAGCTGCCACAAAAAATAGCCGGGTGTTGTGATGGGCACCTGTAGTAGAGTGCCATAACATCAGAGCTCACAGCAACCTCAAACTCTTGGACTGAAGTGATCTTCTGGCCTCAGCCTCCCAGAGTGAGAAAGGGTCTTTGCTCAGACTGGTCTTGAACTCCTGAGCTCAGGTGATCCCCAACTGGGCCTCCCAGAGTGCTAGATTACACGTGTGAGCCACCATGTCCAGCTAAATGTTTTTTGAGATTGATTATTAAATCCAGACTCAGAATCATGGCTGGGTACAGTGGTTCACGCTTATAATCCCAGCACTTGGGAAGCTGAGGCAGGTGGATTGCCTGAGCTCACAGGTTCGAGTCTAGCCTGAGGTAGAGTGAGACCTTGTCTCAAAAAATAGCCAGGCATTGTGGTGGGTGCCTGTAGTCCCAGCTACTTGGGAGGCTAAGGCAAGAGACTTGCTTAAGCCCAGGAGTTTGAGGTTGCTGTGAACAGTGACGCCATGGCACTCTGAGGGCAACATAAAAAGATACTGCATGAGAAAGCACCATGCCCTTGGCTGTCCTAGCTTACGTAAGGAAACTCCTTTTTGCTTCAGCTAGCATGAGGATGTTTTCTGGTATTTGCTGCTGACTAACACATATTCCCTCAAAAGCTCTGGTAGACAGATGATAATGAGCAGCACTCAACCACAAATAACCACAACCCCTTGGCATTATTATTATTATTAAGACAGAGCCTCTCAAAAAAAAAAAAAAAAAAAAAAA